ACAAGATGAGAAGAATGAGACAATAACTAAGTTCATGTCAAAGCAAGAGCAATCACAATCTGAGATCACAGACCTATTGAAGATGCTTTTGTCAAAACACTCTTAGATTTTTTTTCTCATGTTTGTGCATCTGTTGTTTTTGCATCTGAATGTTATTGTTATATCTTCTGATATTTTCCAATGTACTTTTGCTCTGTTATGATTAAATGAATCAGTTTGTTATTCTCCATTGAATTATCTGCTCTTGTTCCTTTTATTTGTCTTTATTAAAAGTTTTTACTTTTTGCTTATGACAAAAAAGGGGGAGAAAATAAAGATCTGAACTATTTAATATAATTTCACTAGAATGAATCTTCAGACATATCTACTCTTTCTAATATCTAAATTGACTATTTCAGAACATTTGATAAGAACTCTCTATAAAAGAATCTCTGAGTTTCTCAGATCATTTATCTTTTATCAAACTCTGAATCTCATATCTTCAAGATAGTCTGACCCTTGATTATTACAAAGTCAAACAAGATCTGACTCTGAAGATTACTCAAGATAAAAAGGGAAGTTTCTATTCCTTTTTCATTTTTTAACTCAGGGGGAGATTCATCATCTCAGAGGGAGTTATAATTCTTTATGTTCAATTAAATAAAATTTCTGATACTTTTTGTCATCATCAAAAAGGGGGAGATTGTTAGAACACAGATTGGTTCTTAATAATTACTCTTTGTTTTGATGATAACTGTTAGGAAATTTATATTTAAGAATTATATACTCTAAAATTTGTTTGAGAGTTTTATTGCAGATTAATATTATATTAACTCTCTAGAAGCAAATCTGCCTTGAATACAAGAAGCTATTCTGACTCTGAAGCGCCAGATGCACCTTACAAAAGAATCTGTTTGCTCCTTACAGAAGATCCTGAGCGTTGTTTCTAGAAGGATCTGAAGAAAGAAGCTCCAGAACATTCTGAGTCAGAAGCATCTGAAGATAATCAGAAGCATCTGAAGCTGAAGCATCAGAAGTATAGAAGAATATTGATTGAAGAGTTTCTCAAAGCATTAGTCTACAGAAGTTTCTGAAAGTACCTACGCTGCCTTGTACTGAAGTTCTGTGTCAAAATGCTCTGATGATCAACACGCTAGAAGCACACACGCTGCAGAAGACTTTGATACAGTATAGTTCTGAATTTCATTAGAAGACTCTGATCCATTCAGACTCTGAAGAACTTGCTGAAACTGAAGAAGTACTTTCAAGGATATATCTGTTGAAACTATTCAACGTCTCTTTCCTTATTTGTGCTAGACACACTTACACAGACAAAAAGGATTTTTCTGTGCCATCTATTTCAAGGAAAGGTCAGTGCATGTGAAGACAAAAAGGCTCAGACCTTTTGGACTCTCTTTTCAATGATCAGCTTGCATGTTTCAGCTGCCTATAAAAGGAGATCTTCACTTCATTCTTCAGTGCTACACACTTGCTGAAAAGAAATCATAATATTCTATAAGCTCTCATTCTTATTCTTCATAGAATCTCATTGTACTTAAACTTAAGAGAAAAATCACTGTTGTGATTATAGCTTTATAGAAGCATTAAAAACTCTTGTATTTAATTTACATTGTTTGTAAAGGATATTCCTTAAGAGGATTCAGTGTGAATCAGTAGCTCTTGAGAAGACTAAGAACTGTAGTTCTTAGGTGATACTATTGTAATCAGTTTGATTTAATAGTGGATTAAGTCCTTGTTGAGAAAGGCAAATCACTCTGGAAGGGTGGACTGGAGTAGTTGTTAAACGAACCAGGATAAAAATAATTGTGTGATTATTTTCAAGCATTAATTTTCCATACTTATTCAACCCCCCTTCTAAGTATTATCTCACCTTCAAACCATAGTAAAACTTCACATACCTTAACAATGGTGGAAATGCAATGCAATGCAGACTCGAAAACGGACGGTGAACGGCGACGGCGGCGCAATCCAACGGAAGAGGGCGACGGTCGACGGCGGATGACGGCAACAGAAACTTTGAATAGGGCAAGGTCGTTCGCCAGAGGAGAAAGAAAGAAGAAAAGAAATGCATCACTTTTCTGTTTCTCTTAAAATTCTGGAGGGTATTTTAAAATTATAATACTAATACCTATAGCAGCGCTTTTAAAAGCGTTTTCATAGGGTGCCTTAGCAATGTCATATAGCAGCGCTTCATAGAAAAAGCGCTGCTAAAGGGCCCCCCTTTAGCAGCTCTTTTTAAAAGCGCTTTCTTAGGGTCCCCCTTTAGCAGCGCTTTCTAAAAGCGCTTTCTTAGGGTACCCCTTTAGCAGCGCTTTTTAAAAAGCGCTTTCTTAGGGCACCCCTTTAGCAGCGCTTTTTTAAAAGCGTTGTCTTTGGTAGGAAATTTTTTTCTTTTTTTTTTACTCACCCTTTAGCAGCGCTTTTTTTTAAAAGCGCTGCTAAAGGGTGCGCTGCTAAAGCTCATTTCTGGCGTAGTGATCTTGTCTCGTGGTGTTTTTTTCGTTCAATTCTCGAATCTCCCTCTGTCTTTGCTCACTCTCTATTTGTGGAAGGTTTGAATTTGGTTTAAAGGTTTTGCGGTGATGGTTGAGTGAAGGTTGAAGTTGGGTGTTGCAGTTCCAAAGTGGAAGAAGGGTGGTGATGGGTTGCTCGTTACGACGATGGTACTAGATGGATTTGCAGCGGAGATGATAGGTTGTTTGCAAATGGTGGTTTGTATGTTGATGTTATTCACAGTAGGTTGTGTCAAGAGTGAAGGAGATTTTTTTTTTTTGTGAAAGTGATTGAAGGAAAAAAATACCATCTGAGCCCCGTTGTTAAAAAAGTGTCATCAATTTTTAAGGTTTGAGGGCAATGGTTGTTATGCTTGAAAGATGTCGTGAGGAAAGAATGAAGAATCCTTATGAGGTATATGTCATAGCCACTTTTCATTTTCTTCTTTTTTGTGCTGCTATTTTCTGCTGTGGATTCGTGGTTGTTTGTTGTTGTATGTTATGGTTACGCAGGCTGGTACAACTTTAGAGTGTAGGTCACATGGTGCAGCATGATGGTAACGTGTCTTATGGGTATGGAAGTTCGCATAGTGTAGGGTTTTGGAGCATATTGAAGGGTTGTTTTCATGCTTGGAGTGACAAGTCTTGTTGTGTTGGAGATGGTTGTTGCGTTGTGCAACGTTTCGTCTTGGAGTAGCAGGTGTGGGGTAGCAGAGTTTTGTCATGGTGTGCAGGTTCAGCGTGTTTATTATGTAGAATTTTGTTGTTTCTGGGATGTTGTAGCTGTGTTGATGATGTACGGTACAGTTCATAGTTTAGCAGGTTTAATGTAGTAGCAAGAAGTGTCAATATTGGTACAAAGTTTTGGAGTGTTGTGCAAGGAGGTTGTAGTTTTTTTTTAAATGTCCTTGTTGTTGGAGGGTTGGATGCTACATGTGAAAAATGTTTTGTCTGGTGGTAGCATGGTTTAGGATGTGGGATGTTTCTTTATTATATTTTTTTTTTGCAATTTTTGTTGTAGCTTTTATTTGGGTAATAAAGGAAATGAGCTTTTTTTGTATGGGTTTCTCTCTTTATTTGTGAACTTTCAAAAACTTGTCCTTTTTATAGGAACTTAATAATGGACTTGTAACTTGAACCTTGATCACGAATTTGATCTTTTGAAAATTAAAGGAAATAAATCATGAATTTAAAACTAGAGTGAAACTTGGAATTCGACATGAACTTGAATGAATTTGAATCTTTAAATTTCGACTAAACCATGAACCAATTCCAAAAGTGAACCTCTTGAAATAATTTTGAATAAGTGATGCTCATGACTTCATCCAACAAATTATCCTCGAAACCACATTTGATGAAACAATGATTTGAGTACATACTGATGAAACAATGATTTGATGAGAACCAAAACCCCTGATTCAAAGTTTTACCTGTTAGGCCACTGATGAAACCCTAACATTTGATATTCTTGAGAAAACTCGAATGAGATGACATAGTGCTTTGATGAACCTTGGATTAGAACTGCTCATGATGATTGAAAATCCAATTCTTACCTCAAACTTGAGTATAATAACCAGATGAAATAACCTCTGAATAAAGGAAATCCAGATCAACAAAAAACCTCTGATCCCATGTCCCAAGAGCCTGATGAAATCATGCTATGTTACAAAGATGATGCAAAGCGAGAATAAATGCAAATTTAAAAATTGTTAGTCAAAATTTAGGATATGACAGTCACTCTTATTTGTTAATATATAATTATTTTTAATTCAAACATACCATTCAACTATTCTATTATTTTTCTCTTTTTATAGAAAAAGTTTGTTCTTCCTCTATAAATTTAAATCTTTAAAGTTAAACAGAGTACAATATTAATTATTGATATATCAATAATTTTTAATAATTTGTTCAACTATAAAAATTAATAAAATAAAGTAATAAATAATTAGTAATATTATTAAAAAAAATTATTAAAATGTAATAATATTTATCGATTATCCTAATATAAATAAAAAATAATAAAAATAACACGTAAAGCAATTAATTTTTTTTTTCATTTTACATTTTTATGGTAACAAAATCATCAATAATTAAAAAAATCAATTTAACAAAACTGCAATATATTTCAAACACTTTAAACCACTCTTATTTTAAAAAAGAAAATATCAATTTAAGAATAAAATTGCTAAATACACTAAAAAATAGGAAGATAATACTATATAGTACGTGTCTAATTACACGTGTTTCTGACAACCGTTAATCAACGTAAAATCAGTGAATGTACTGAAAACATTGTATATAATAACTCTGTCTCTGTCATCCCCACCTTAACTTCTCTGTCATCTCATCTTCCTAATCTTTCTCTCCTACCAAGATCCAAAATCCAAATCCATCTCTTTATCTTTTTACCTTTTAAATCACAAAAATTTAGTATATATATTCACAACACAATCAAAACAAATTCGCTTCAACAATCTATAGATACAGTATACAACAACTTTCAAAGACATGGCTGAGACCAAAGCCACTCAAGTGAATATCAAGCCAATTTCCCAAATTGCCCCTTCTAAGCCTAAGGTTACTGATTCTTCATCTCTCAATAAGAAGCTCTCAAGCTCAACGAAGCATACACCTGATTCTAAGATGAAATCTGTCACCACTGTCACTAAATATGAGGTATCATCAATTCAAACCCTCACTCAATTTTAGGATTCAATTGTAATTATGAATATTTAATTATACGGAGGTTCATCTGTCACCACTGTCACTAAATATGAGGTATCATCAATTCAAACCCTCACTCAATTTTAGGATTCAATTGTAATTATGAATATTTAATTATACGGAGGGTTTCTTAATTTTACAATTTTACCCTTTCTTGAAAGTTAGGGTTCATAATTGTGTGATTTTTCCAATGTATAATGGGTGATTAATTAATGTTGGTAGATGTTAGATATAGTCGCCGATTTGTTAGATAGAGTTAGAATTTGTTAAGGCACTAATAAATAAGGTTTTAAAAACAGTTGCGGTCGCATAAAGACTTTGGCTATCGATACATATTGTGAGCATACGGTGTGAATTAACCATAATTTATTATTTAATATAAAACCTCATTATAACTGCCGTTTTGTTGTGACAGTTTTTGTGGTTGCGGACTAATTTTTAAAACTTTGGTGATAAGTTTGTTAGTTTCGATAACATGACAATTCTGTTTTATATAAACTTGATAGGTTAAATCAAAACCGACAACAATGTCGTCGTCATCATCGAAAACAACAACAACTACGAAGACGACGAAGAGGAAAACTACTACCACCAAAGTGAGAGAGAGGAAAGTCTACAATTTGCCTGGCCAGAAACACGATCCACCTGAAGAGGTTTGTAATTTTTCACAGTTTATTCAGGAAATTTACAATTTGTTGTATGTATTGAGAGACCGAATCTGACTAATACAATATGTTTGTTCATAATCGTACCTTGTGTTTGCAGAAAGAACCCTTGAGGATTTTCTATGAGTCGTTGTCAAAACAGATACCGACAAGTGAAATGGCTGAATTTTGGTGAGTTTTCTTCCAATATTGCAGTTGTTAACAATCTGTGTCTTTCATTATGTTCGGATCTTCGTGTTAAAATCGGTTGATGAGAAAGGAAATGAATGTTCATAAATTAGGATCTAGCACTGGTTGATATCAGATTTTGTTCCAAAATGAAAATCTATAAAAAAAAAAACTGTCGAATTGATATAGATTATGGCGGTATTTATCAGTATAGTACAGTTGAAATTCTCAATGATTCTTATCCAATGCAGGTTAATGGAACATGGATTATTGTCTCTTGAAAGAGCTAAGAAAGCATTTGATAAGAAGCAGAGAAAGCAAAAGGAGCTTCGAACAGGAACTCCGGCTAAGTCATCGTCAAAGCCGCCGACAAAAACCGGAACTTCACAGAAGCCGCAACAGAGACCAAATAATACTGGAACTTCAGAGAAGAGACCAAATAATACTGGAACTTTACAGAAGCCGCAACAGAAATCAAATAACGGCGACACTAAAGCCAAGAGAAAGATCGAGAGTGACAGTGACGACGACGACGATGATTTCATTTTGAGTCATAAAAGAATAAGAATGTAAGAAAAACCTCAAATTTATTTAATAAAGGTTATACAAAGGAAAAGAAAAGAATTGGTGTAAGGTAACTTGAACTGTAAGATTAAAATATTCTTCATGTGTCAAACTTTACTGATTCCACAAGGGACTTGCACTGTGTTGTTGTATGTGTCTTTTGCAAGCAACATTATTAATGAAAACGGAGAATGCTTTTACTCCATTACTTCTTCCCCTTGAGATTGATTTTAGTAGAAAATGATTCATAATAGATAGTTATAGAATTTGGATCCTCTCTTTTTTTTATATATATCATCTCTCATCTCACATATTTTAATCTAATGGTTCAGAATTTATAATGAATAATTAAATAAAAAAAATTATTTAATAAGAGAGAGAAATTGATAATTAATTTGTCTTTATTATTTACTTAATTATTATAAATTCTGAACCGTTAGATTAAAAACATGAGGGATGATATGATATATAAAAAAGAAAAGAATTCAAATTCTAATTATATATTGTTATTATATTTAAAATGTAAAATTACATTGATCGAGTAGTCATTGACACTGAATATAATAAGGAGGACCACGGTTCGATACGCCGAACAGAATTATTCAATTCAGGGGACTAGATATTGGTGGTGTAAATCAAAAAATTGTGTATATTAGTATTCCCTTGATCATAGGATGTAGTCCACACCTCGAAAAATCGTGGGTTCAACTTCTTTTACTTATGTGAGGACTTTTTGCTCATACTCGGGTGAATAAGAACAAGAATGTATTGAAAGATAAAGAACCCGAATGGGTTAAATCGTTTAGAAAGAAATTAATAAGAAAATGTATAGGACATCTTCAATTCACATAGCAATACAATACAACATGTCATTTGGTTACTAGCCTTTTTTCTTTTGTGTGTGTGTGAAAATAAGAAATAAAGATAATATTTGGGCTTCAAGCCCAATCATATTCTAGTGGTATGAATAAAGGGAATTGTTTGTCCTCTAAGTAGTGGAAAATATTCTATAAAAATTTTAAAATATCTTTTAGATTTTGAAAATGCGTTTTCGAATGCACCACAAGTCTCATCATAACACGTCTCAATTGAGTCTCACTCTATATATTTTTCAAATTTAGTTCGAAGATGCATCTCCGAACCCATCCAATATACGACTCATATGCATTCCTCAATGAAACATGTTTATTTTGATATAAGTAGATCAGAGATGCATCTTCGTATTCACACCGGATAAAATTCGGAGATGTATTTTCGTATTCACACCAGACAATAATTTTTTACTTTGTTTTAAATATGAACTGACGAAATTGACGATGTATTATAGTTATACTATCGTATTCAATTTTATATAAATTAAACCATACACATTCAGAAAATATGAATATGACATATAAATCAATAGTGCTCCAAAATACATAGTGAAGTCAAAATAAATTACAACTAATAATAGTGCTCTTAATTCAAATACTATATACTACTGCGTATGACAAACGCAGACCCCCGTGTTCCTACGATTCCTCATGTACTACAGTGTCTTCGGTGTCTCCCCACGATGGCGTCTAGAACGTCCCTCACCTCAGAGCCATCCAAAAAATCCTCTGTCTATACTCGCCTGCCCAAGCTCCATGATACGTCGACATCTAGGCAACACATCAATAATATGATCTGCCCTAACCTACTCCTCCTCTAGTATCTCCTAATGTGATGGCATAGGTGGATGTACAAGAGCATCTGATATCGTATAAGGATGTGACACCCTGAAATACCACTAGATATCCGTGTCGACACTCTAGTAACTAAACGCTATGGTACTCCGTGCTTCATCTGGTACCAAATTATTAAGGTAATTGTCGCGGTGAAAATCAGACACTAAAGCTATGAGATTAACTTGCCTCGCAAAAATAAGATATCACCACCGAGATTTTATTTTATCCAAGGGAAGGGAGAAAAGATCGAACAAAAACCCTAAGTAAAAATGAAAAGCAAAAAGCAAGGCATAAAGCTAACCAAAGAGAGATCAAATGTACAAAGGTTGGTTATACTAAGGGAAGGAACTAGAACTTTAAGTAGTTGTAGTACTCTGTAGGAACCTCTTGAAATATTTGTGTTTTGGCTAAAATTGTTTGCTAAAGGTAAAATATGGGCAAAGAAAAGAGAAAAGATGGAAAAAGAAAGCAAAAATAAAAAGGTAGCTCGCTAGGATCTCGCAATAATATGCCTACATATCCTTAATAGGAAGTTAGAGCAATCGTAGTTCAGAGACTATGGGTGAAAAAGAAAAAGAATGCTCGCCAAGGATTGAGACCTTGTGCCTATTGTAACACCCTTTTCTACCCCACAAATATAATGGCAAATCAATCATATTTATCAGAGTAAAATATTGAAAGCAATAAAATCATCTCAAAAGGGCGCACATTTCTCAATAATTCACATATAGTCAATGCTCTGTAAACAACGGGTTTTCCCAAAATTACTTCAAATATTACTCAAAAGGCAGCAGAACTCAAAAAGGCAAAATTCAAAATTTTCCTTGCGCAACAACATAATCAAAATAACAATAATCAAATAAACACGGTCCAACTCAAAAGACCCCAACCCGATGTTACATTATCAGAGCAAGACCCTCTAAGTCAGTTACAATGACCAACGATCCAAAAACTTCAAAAAGTCCTCGACGACATCCACGACTAAACTCGGTCATCTGCACGTTACCCATGTGGAGGCAACATTCGAACACGCAAGGTGAGTAAAACGCTTCATAATAATCAATATAGGAATTAATATATAAAATGGCGTCATTTTCATATTCAACATCATCATAATCATCAAGGAACATCAAAGGCCACAACATTATAAATTACACCAAATTGTGACATAAATGCAAATGCAACAAGACTCATGCATGTGATACCAATCAAAAAAATTCGATGGACACTAGGCCATCAACTCTCCATAGATCCACAACAGTAGGATCAATTCTATACGAGAACCGGAGCACATAAAAATACCTCATATCAGCACAATGGGACTGAAGCCACAAAAATCAAGGTCCTAGACCGAAGTACGGAATGCATAAGAATGCATGATGCACACGTCAATATCATCCTCATAATAAACTAATTAGGTGCATCATCATTCATCACAATCATCATAATAATCATGTCATCATATACTCATAAAAAACTCATGGTATTAACATCATAAATCATCACAGCTACTCATAGGAATCATCATACAATCATGTATTACTCACATAGGAATCACTGTCATACTCATGGTAATTCATCAAAGAAATCACAATATCAAAACATTAAGACATCACTGCACAAGATCAGAATTCGCAAAACTCTGCTACATTCACTAGCAAGTTCGCTGTGCGAGTCTGGGGCGAATGTTTGTCGTGCGAAGCATTCTTTGCTGTGAAAACTCGCGATTACAGAAAATCGCTGTTATACACCAGCACCAAAACCAGTCCAAAAACCTCTACGATTTCCTTCCCTAATGCCCTAAAAACATCCCTAAATCATTCCTAAGGTATTACGACGATAAAGGCACAAAATCTACGACTTATTAGGTCAATCCTGTATCATATTTACGCCTCTAGTTCTCATAATTTCTTACAACTACCTCACAGTCATTAAAGTTCTCACAATCAATTACCCTATAGGTTAAAATCTCATCAAAAGATTTTGGCCACGAAGGCCTAATTTCCCTTATTCTCAAATCATCCTCAAACCTATCAGACCATCAGTTCAAATCCGTCAAACTCATTGAACTCACCATCAGAAAGGCAACAACAATTCAATACTAAAAAAATCCATAAACCCTTAAATCAGCTTTAAACACATTGAATCACATATTGAAAACAATGAAGGCAATACTCCCCATACCTTAATTGCCGACTCTAAGCCTTTCTCCTTGATTCTTGGAAACCTTACGACGCTTTCGCCTCAATCCTCTTCCTCAGAGCTCTGGCCTCTATTTCTTCCCTTTTCACGGTCTAACAAGAATGAATCATAATTCCCTCAAAATTCCTTTTTATTAAACCTAACTTTGGGCCTTAAAATTGGGCTTTCTAACTTCATCCTCACTAACTTCTTCTCAAATGTCCACTTTGCCCTTAATTCACTTATATTTATTTAAATTAATAATAATACCAATATATTCATATTATATACTATTATTTAAATAAATAACTCAAAATATATAAGTCTCACTACTCACACCAACCACCGAAAATCACCAAAAATGCGAATATTCATATTTAAATAAATTAAATAAATATTCCAAGAATTTGGGGTGTTACACCCTCCTCCACTTAAAAGATTTTTTGCCCACGAAAATTATCTCAAGGAAACAGAGTCAGATATGACTCTCTCATCTGATCCTCATGCTCCCAATTCATACTCCCTCCAACTGGTCCTCCCCAAACTACCTTTACAAAGGAAATTTCTTTAGCTCGTAGTTGCTTCACTTCTCGTTCGTCAATCTGAATTGGAAATGCCTCAACAGTCAAATCATCTCACACTTGTACATCATCCATATGAATCACATGTGACGAATCTGGAATGTACTTCCTCAATTGAGACACATGAATCACATCATGCAAATTCGTAAGCGACAGCGGTAAAGCAATTCGATATACTACTTCTTCCATCCTCTGCGAAATCTGATACGGACCAACAAAATGCGGTGTGAGATTTCTGGACTTCAAAGCTCGGCCAACACCAGTTACCAGCGTAACTCTCAAAATCACGTGATCTCCTTCATGGAACTCAAGTGCTTTCCTTCTCTTATCATGGTAACTCTTCTGACGACTCTGCGACGCTTTCATCTTTTCTTGGATCATCTTGATCTTTTCAGCCGTCTCTTGCACAATCTCAGGTCCGAGTACAACACTCTCGCCTGATTCATACCAACACAAAAGAGTCCTACATCTCCTACCATAAAATGCCTCATACGTTGCCATCTCGATACTAGAATGGTAATTGTTGTTGTAGGTAAAC